GGCGGCAGCAGTCGCTGCTGTGCTGCGGTTGGGAGGGGGCTGCTTGTGTGGCTGCGTGGCCTGCTGGCTGTGGGCGCTGGGGAGCTGGCCTGAGGGACGCCTGGGGCTGAGGGAGCGGCGGTGCTCGTGTAACGGGTGTGAGAGAACTTGCCTGTGAGGGAACGGCTCTAAGTACCAGAGGAGGTGTCTCCTGCTCCCAGGGATTTCCGTAGCCCAGAGGTGGGCTGCAGGTACTGAAGTTGCAGGACTACCGCAAGCAGACCGATTTATTTTTTTTCAGCTCCACAAATGGCAGTATTTCATTTTGTTGGCTGCTTTGATTTGGTGCGTCCTTGTCAAAAAGACTGGCTCCATCTGTTCAGTAGTAGTTTCCTTTTGAAATATCTCTTAAGGTGTTTTGCCAGGAGAATCCCAGTTTGGTTGCACTGGCAAGTGGTGATGGAGAAATTTAGAAACGTTGGTCAAACTGATGGTGCATGAGTGCTGGAAGATTCACTCTGTGTTAGCAAGTATTAGTAACTATGCAGCATGAGCTTAGGTACTTTCACATTGTCTATTTCAAACAGGTTTGATACTGAACGAGAACGTTGACCTTTACAGACTGCTTTTATAGCTTCAGCACAACTTCCCCTAGCTGTAGTGGCCATAAATAGTTTACTTGGTTTGGATATACGTCCGAATGCTTCATTTTCTTGCAGAATTTTTGTCCTCTGAGCACAAGATCAGGGTAGGAATTCAGTACTTTTGTTTATATAAATAATTCTCTTTTTGTCTTGGAAACTGTTTTCTGACAGCTATGAAATTTCTGTTGGTTTTTGATTTTGACCATACAATCATAGATGAAAATAGTGATACCTGGATTGTGAAATGTGCTCCTGAGAAAAAACTTCCTAATGGATTAAGAAACTCCTACCGACCAGGACACTGGACAGAATATATGGGCAGAGTCTTTGTCTACTTGGGAGACAATGGCGTCAAAGAAGAGGAGATGAAAAGAACTATGACAACAATTCCTTTCACTGCGGGAATGGTAGATCTTCTGGGTTTTATTGGCGAGAACAAAGAGTTGTTTGACTGCATAATTGTTTCAGATTCTAATACAGTATTTATTGACTGGATTTTGAAAGCTGCTGACCTCCATAAGGTGTTTGATGAAGTGTTTACAAACCCTGCAGCATTCAGCAGTACTGGCTATCTTACTGTACAGAACTTCCATGCTCACCATTGTGCAAAGTGCCCTAAAAACCTTTGCAAAAGGAAAGTTTTAAAAGAATTTCTAGAAAAACAGTCAGAGCGAGGAGTAAGTTATACACAAATTGTATATATAGGTGATGGTGGGAATGACTTATGTCCAGTAATGTTTTTGAAGAAGGATGATATTGCTATGCCCAGGCAGGGGTATACCTTGGAGAAAAAGATTTCTCGGCTGGCCCAAGATCTCAGTCCTGTAGAGTGTTCTGTTCTGGTTTGGTCATCTGCTACTGAAATTATGTCTTACCTGAAAGTGCTTATAAAGAAATAATTCAAATGATAAAAGAAAACTAATGTATTTTATCTTCCTGGGAGAGAAAAACTGCATGTGTATAAAAGCGTAAAATTGGGTTGTTATCTGAACTTATGTTTTTTAAACACAATATAAAACTGTTTATGTTCAATCTTGGCAATAGTGGGAAAGTGAAGTTAAAATGGCTTTCTAGCATAGTACACATTCCAACATAAGTGGAGAAGTGGGGTTGCAAGAGGAATTGCCATTATTCTTAGTCTTATCCCTCCCCCCCAAGCCTTTACCGACTACATAACTGACCTTTTCTGTTCCACGCGCTTAGGGGAAGGAGTAGGATTAGCGCACAAAAGAATGAAATTCTTTACTTACAAAACATTAGGTGCAAGGAGCATGGAACTGTTGGCTTTTATACTTCTTTGATCAGGATAAATGGTTAATTTTGTATATTATTTGGTATGCTTGTAATCTTGTTTGATCTGAAGATGCATTTATATTTTCAATGTACTAAATATTTTACCAAACCAAATTACTTTTTAATAGTTTGTATTATCTTGTATTGTAAAGACAATAAAAGTTACTGTCACTGACAAAAGCAACACACCTGATTTGTGCAATGTATTCTGCTGGCCTGTGTGTCATCGGGCACCTGTTCTTGTAAGGGCCTGGAGAGAGTGAACACAAGTGTAGGTGTCAGCCTTTGGATAACACCTTCATTTATTTTGTCAGTCAGACCTCTTCTCTTCTGGAGAGCAGTAAGGATGTTGCTGTTCTGTATAAAGAAAAGTCATTCTCCCATTCTCCTGACTACCGCCCTGACAGTATGCTGCTGCCACTCCGTACAGAGCTAACGCTGGTTTGATCTTCCATGCTGACAGCTCCGAGTCAGCCAGGTGCTTTTTTCTTGCTGTGTTTCTGCTGCAATGCACAGGCCCACAGAATGGTGCATATGTATACATGTTTACACTGATTTTACCTGTTCACTCTTGTCCACATCTATAGTATAATCCAGTCTTACAGGCTGGAAGGGAACATCTATGTCCATTTTAACTTTTTAACAGAATTGTTCTGTCTTTAAATAGTTTAAGGAATTGTTTGTGAACATGCAGTCTTTTCTCTTTACCACTCAGAGTGAGCTGAGCCCCAAGAGTTGGGCTATGCATATAGAGAGATTAAAAATAAGTCTCATTAAAGTTAAATAATGTATTTTCATGCCAAATGTTTTCCTTCTTATAGTCCCATGAAAGGTCCAAAATGATGATGTAGTCTGCTATTGAACTGATGTCTGTTTTAGCTTAAGTGCCTTAATAACAGAGAAATTAGTCCAACTTTTGCAGCGCTTCGGTTGCAGATGTCTGAGATGTAGCTTAGCAGCCTGCGATTGCTGTAGCCGTCTTCCTTTGTTTTCTGTGCAGCATTGTTCTCATTTTCTTACCAACATTTGATGTTGTCACTACCTTCTTTTTCTCAGTTGAAGATTTTTAGGAGTGGTCTTGCCTGTTTTCAGGCTGACAGTGTATATATATTAAGATTTCCTTTGATTACTTCCTTGTAAATGGTCCTGCTTTTAGCCCTTTACCTATTTTAATGAAATGTAGAAGGTTGCTTTGAACAGTCTGTTGTCTAAGATGTCCAGAATAATATACTTGAGTTCTCAGGAGCATTGCTTTAATGATGGATATTTGATAGGTGCCTGAGATGTTTGTATTAGAGATCTTACCGTATTGTCTTGTGCAAGGGCATGAAGACAGCATCTGAAGAACTGGTGGGTCTCAAGTTGTGACAGGTTTAAGTTGTCTGATTTGCAGCTCATACAAAAGAATGGTAATGGCTGTTGCATAGTACAATTTTGTATAGTTACTTTTTTTTTTTGTTGTGTGTCTCCGTCATTCTAGATATGCTGCTTAATGTTCCAGATTCTGTGCCGGTCTCTTCTGTGCTTTTCAGAACTTAGCTGTGAGACAGCTTGCTTTCAGTTTGTCCACAGATCTCAGTTACTGCTTACTTAAAACCAACCAAACAAAAACTAGTATATGAATAATTATTCAGCTTTTTCTTCCACTTATATTAACTATTGTTCTTTTAGCATTAAGGAACCTACCTTGTAGTTTGCTGTGAGAGTGAGAAATTGAGAAATTTATGTTCATACTCAAAAAGGGGTGGTTTTTGTGGTTTTGATGAAAGTACTGAAGCAGGAGTTGAGATTAAGCAAAGTACTGTGAAATATTAGCAATTATGATCTAATCACTTCAAGTAGAGGGTAGAGCTGATGCTATTTGCTAGACAAAGTGCGTGTTGGAGACAGAAGAAATTTTTCAATTCCAGTACGTAGGCCATCAACCTACTAATATGAGGTCTTGGGGTTTTTTTTCTTCTTAATAAGAGTGAACTTTTCTGAAGCACCACAATTACCAAATTTTTCCACATTTGGGTATAAGGGAGGGGAGATGAGTATCTCCAAAGGGTGAAGCTGGTTTAAGCTGGTAACCCAGCCGAAAGAGAAAGGGAGAAGCTCCTTGAAGGGATGCATGTTCAGTACTGGGTGCTGCTGACCTCCAGGCTTGCTGGCAGTTTAAGTCAACATGCTCCCTGGGAGGGAGATGACTTAGGTAAAGATGTTATGAAAATAAATGCATAATGGAAGGTGTATGTGCATATGGGAAATTTTCTATATGGTAACATCACTATTGTACACCAGCTGCTATGAAGAGTACTTGGCCTTAGTATTATGTGCTAGTAGGATGGCCAAGACCTGGGAAAAGTTCCTGCTTGTCCATAGGAAGCTGACGAAATGGAAAGTGCAAAACCACAGCAAAACAAAGCTGTTGGCATGGGGATGTATAAACAGACTCAGGGCCATACAAGGGAATGCTCTAGAGAAAGAAATGGAGTGAGTAACGTAGCTGAGGGACCGGCTCGGGTCAGAGACGCAGGGCTGCTGCTAATTCCTGGGTTATACCACAGAACTCTGATTTCCTGGGCTAACAGTGCATCAAGAGTGGTTGAAAAACTGAAGATGTGTGAAGGGTTTGCTGGTTTTTGTTCGGATCAGCTTACTTATGCCTCGTGTTACTATGTAAAGGCCAAGGGCAAGTTTGAGTCCTGTTGCACGGTTAGCATCTGAGGAAGGATGGTAGAGGGGTATGTCCATATACACTTTCCAGTTCAGATTCCTTCTTTGGTTCGTGCTAAAGAATCTGTGTAGAGCAGGAACTGTCCTTTTAGGTATTGCTGGCACTTAGCGAATAATAACAAATATCCACCTCGTTTTGGTAGGAGAAACTGCTGCCAGTCCTTTCAATCCAGGAGAGCTCTGGCAGGGCAAGGGGAGTCTGGCTGCTGGATCCAAAGGATTCAAACCCTGCTGCAGGTGAAGGAGGGAGCACAGCTGCTTAAACCCAGAGGATGCTGTGCTTCAAATACTTTTAAAGGTCTCCATTGCAGAAAATGTTTTGCCAGCAGAGAAGAAAAAGACTTCTTAAATTGTGACCCACATTTTCAGAAGTGGTAAAAGCCAATATAACCACCTTCCTGAATAATTTGCTTATAGTTGGAGTCTGTTTGTCAGCATAGTTTGTGACCGTCCTTTGCGCCCTACTGGGTTCAGGTGTTTGAGGAGAGCTCTGGCCACTCCCTCTCGAATCCCGTCCTTCTGTAATGGGGGAATCCCCGGAGCGTGCTGCCTTTCTCCGCATCGCTCCTCCGAGCGCCTGGGAGAGCGGGGCGCCCCTGCGAGAGGCGGCTTCAGGTCGCCGTTAGCGGCAGTCAGAGGCCCCCTTGCTTTGTTGTGTGGCGGAGTGCCACCAAGCTGGTGACGCTCCCCAGGCGCCTGCTTCTGTCCCTAATACGGCCGGGCCTTGTGTCATCATCGCAGTCAGCCTTTTAACCCCCCGCCCCCGGGGC